CGATCTCCTCCACCTTCTTCTCTTCTTTCGGCGTTTCACACACCCTGCACTCTCTTTCAACTGCGACTTTTTGGAGTCCACACCCTTGACACTCTTGGTATCCGTTCAGGTCCACAGTGTTTCGGGATTTGCTCAGCGCCTTCACCGCTGCATAGACTTCCTCCCCCCAGGTCGGCGGCCTTGATGATGTAGTCGATGAGCTGGTTGTTTACCCTGCAGTCGATACCTTCGGTCTACCGCCTCCTGTTCCTCAACCTCAGTCATCAACAGTCCATGGACCTGGGTTTCAAAGTCATCAGCTTGAGCATCCTCCTCACAACCGCCATGATCTTCGTCATGATCTGGTGAAGGGGGTTGTGCCTGATCATCAAATACCTCCCAAAATTCAGCCGCTTCTTTGAGTTGGTTTGCAATGGAGTGCGGGTTTCCATCGTGCAGTAGTTCCGCTGCATCTTGACCATCACGTTCCGGACGGTTTCGTTCAGGCCCACCCTTTTCAAGATTGCCATCTTCAACGGCCTGAACTCCCCCCTCAATGGTCGCTGCCCGACGCGGCCTCACAGCAACCGTGGTTCGGAACCCATGCCCGTCAATTGTCATCACCCAGTAGGCCCCCGCCGATGAAGCCATGCCCTCTGCTGGACCCATGACAGTTGCCTCGATCATGGGATGCTTCCATTTGTTCCAGCGGCGATGCCAGGTCTTTGTCCGAACCATGGCCTTACAGCCATAGGGGATCAGCCTTGGTAGGTTGAGCCCGAATGCTCTCAGCTGTCCTCGATGCCTCTCCTCTGCTGCGTGCCTTAGTGCCGTCGGCCAGTCACGAACAGGTAGTCCAGCAGACTGTAAGAGTACCCTGGCAGCATTCTTCAACACGCCGACCTCAATCTCCGCCCTCGAGTTTCCGGTCGGCTCATCACCTGCAGTGAAGCAGTGCTCCAAATCTCTGGCCGTAGTCCACTCCCGGAACCGCTTCGACACGAACTCCTTGGCCCTGTCTGTCTTGATGCGGAACACCGGAACCTGAAGTGCACGGTACCTTGCAAACAACTTCGACGTTGCAGCTATCACCGTTGCCTCTTTCCGATTCAACAGAGGTGCCGCCAGGGTGAGGTGCTTCACTCCCACATCCTTGAGTTCAGCAATTTGCTGTTCAAATGAAGCCAGCTTCACCTCATCCTCACACACCACTGCTTCTTCCCCATCTCCCTTGAATGGGTTCGGGTCTTGGCTCTCCGGCAAGATCTCCTGCCGATCTTGGAACACATGCTCAGCGCCCTCCTCAATGTCCTCCACCGAATCGTCCGGCTTCCAGCCCCAGATCAGCGGCTTGTCTTGACGGACCGGCACTGTCACGGTAGCCACCAGGAAATATCGTGGTTGGCCCATATCTTGATCACACCCTGGTGCGAGTGGTCCAGCCACGTCCACTGCCATCGTGAAGGCACTTGGAAACTGCTGTCAGAGCCGTGGGCGATCTCTCCCTGCACCACGAAGGCACTCTCGACAGTCTCACAACTCTCACTGTCAATGTCCCTGCTTTTGGATGATGCAGCCGACATTGGCCAGGTCGCCAGTCGATGACCCCGCCCTGTGCCACTAATTCTCCCAGTGGTATTATCGGCGCCGCATCGCCATCATTGGTCAATAGGACCCCACTCTCAGTTTGGCGGAGGATGCACTCACCCGTTGCCGTTTGCGCAACTGTCTCTCCTGCTCTCTGCCACTCTTCCTGAGACACCGGTGCACGTAGGATGTGTGTAGCCCCTGAATCCAGTAGCGCTCCACACCCCTCATAGGTGACCTTTGCAATGATTGCCCTGATCGCCGGCTGTGGTGCTCTCAATGACCTCAGAAGTGATGTCACCTCACCAATCAACTCACATGGCGCAGCCTTTCCTCCATCACTTATTGTAGGAGGCTTCTCGCTTGCCACTGAGCCTGACCTTGTTGTCATAGTCATTGTCTCCGCATTTTCAACAGCTTGCGAGCTCCCACTCCCCCCACCAGCAGCATCACTAGCTGGTGTAGTACTGGAAGCCGTGGTTGCAGTCGATGAGGTCGTCTTGTTGAGTTGAGGCTTGCCCTTGCCGGTTGCCTTGCCCTTGCCCTTGCTGCTGGTGTAGTCCTTGCCCTCCTTGACGTCCTTGCCCTTACTCTCGGCTTTGTCAGGTGACTTTGTTTTGTCTCCTGCAGGACACTCCTGTTTCCGATGACCCAAAGACGAGCAAGTCCAACAGCGATCATTCTTGTCCTGAACCCCCGTCCAGTTGCATGATGCTCCACGTGCGCACCCTGCAGCCGTGCACCAATTTCTGCATGCCACCTTGGTTGTGGGCTTGTCGGAGCTTTGCTGGAGCTGCTTCACTCTCACTTCCGGTGCATCTTTACAATCTCCTGCCAACGCAGCCGTAGTTAACTCCGCCTGCAGCAGTTGAGCGAATCTTGTCACCACATTTTGTTGTGTTGTAGTGTCCAAGTTGTTCGAGCGCCTCCAGGATTGCGCCCTGAGGCTCCTTGTTCAGAATCTGCCGACATATTGAATCCAGCGCTCCAATCTGCAACACTGGGTCCGGCAAGGTGACTCCCAACTCCACCGCTCTTGCCACATTTCGTGACCACAAGCGCAACTTTTCCACTCCATCTGCTGGGGATGTTGCCGTCTCCGGAGCTGTCAAGGCTCGCAGGAGTCCTGATTTCTCGCCAAGGCCTCCTGGTTGGAACCGCTTCATGACCTCCAGCGTGATGGATGCTGCTGTCAGCTTCCTGTTCGCAATGATGTCCGACTTGATCGAGGTCGGCAATGCTGCCAAGAGCATGCTTGTCACCCGTCCTTCAAGTCTTGTAGCATTGGGCTTCACCTGCACACCCACCTCCAGCCGAGTCAGCGCATCCGACCGCATTGACTTCGATCATCAGCTGCGTCCACCAGCGCGCTGCTCCACCAGCCAATCAACGGCTCAATCTCTGTGATCCAACCCCCACATCGAAGGGCCGCCTGAGGTGCGCTCTCGTCCGGGAGTTTCGGTAGGGTCACATTGATAGCCCTCAAATCATCCTTCATCTCCTCCTTCACGAGGACCTCTGGGTTGTTCGCCCCCCAGTCAAAGTTGGTTTTTCCACCCTCCGGCTTCTTTTCCTCAGCCCGCACAGGTGGAGGTGGAGGAATGTAGTCCTTGCCAAAGTCATCATGTCCTTGACCTTCACATAGTTCATGCCATCGGGGATGAACCCCGCGGTCAGGACCTCCCTGTCGGTGCCCCCCGCCCCCAAAATTTTTGACGATGTAGGCTGCCATTTGCCCCCAACATTCCATGGGTCCACTCATGTACTTCACGACCTCGTTCATGTCGTTCACGTTGTCGACGTTCCCAACTCGACCATTCCTCCGCCGAGCACCCACGCTCAAACTTCGACCATGGCCAAGGTGGAACTTCCGGTAGTTCACCCCGTAGATCTTCCGATGTCTGCGGTGGTGTCCCTGGAGGGACCTGTGTACCCCTGGAATTCTTCTCACCTGCAGAGATTGTTCCATCGGTGTGAACATGGCCGTAGTTGGTGTCCTTGGTGTAGGAGTCTGACCTCGGTGGTTCTGACCTTGTGCGATCTTCTCGTTCAAGGCCCTCACCTCATTCCGAAGCTCCTCATTCTGTCTCCGAAGCTCTTCAACCACCTGAAGTTCCATCGCTCGCTGGAGATCATCATCTCGGCCCAGGCGATCTTGTCGACCTTTACCCTGATCGAGCCGTTGGTGTTTTTCGAGCTGTTGACCTGGTACTCCATGATCTCCTTGTCGTTCAGCCTTTTGGTGACCATCCATCCGAGTCCGCGAATCACGTTGTCCTTTTCCTTGATCAAGTCGCTGATGCTTTTCCGGCTGCTGACCTGGAACTTGACGGTCCCCACACGGCCTCCTTATGCCATTGCTCCATCTTCCCCTTCCACAGGTCTCCTCATCCAGCTCGTTGGTGGCACTGGAGGACCAGCCGAGCCCCGCGCGCCCAAGTCACTCGTGATCTCAGGCCAGCCTGGTTGGATGTTCAAGGCTTTCTGGAGTTCCTCTTGAGGATCTCTCCAAAGTTCTTGGGCCTTCATCCTGTTCTTCACCAGCACTGATTGCACGGCCGCCGTCATCAGCCGACTTCTCCTCCAAGTTCTCCTGGTCTACGTCCAAACTCAGCAGGTCCAGAAGGTCATGGGCGTCTGGGATCATCTCTCGATTCTCCCACACCACTCACCTCCGACTCCCCTTCAGGGACCACTGGAAGATCTTCTGGCCTCATCTGTTCCAGAGCAAACCTCTCTTGCATTGATTGCGACCAGAACGGGTTTGCCATGGCGGCCAGCAACTAGCTCACGATCACCGTGAGTCTAGGTGGTCTTCAAAAAAGCGTTGGGCTCATAACCTGCAAGTACAGGCAGAGCAGCGCACCTATTTCCTTGTGCACAAAAGGGCCTCCGGGTTCACTTGGTCCATTTCTATCCTCAAAAAATGAGTGCCTCTGTAACAGCATTAATTCTTGTAGTTAGCAGGCTAAGATCCTTTGTTAGCTGCCGTATGAAGTGGAACGGGCCAGAATATTCTTCACAGAGTGTGCCGGTTTGATTAATTATTCTCCTTTCAATGTGTCCTTGTGTCTGTGTAGTGCGGCGCAAGTGTATATCACGTCACCCGCATTTCTCCTACCGCCTGAGTTGCGAAAAAGGTGCTTGAGCTTGTGTCATTGAGTTTTAGAACTCAGATCCAGGACGAAAAAAAAAACTAGCCTCGCTTGGCTGGACCATATGCTTTTCTTTTCAATCTCTCTCTCTATATATATATATATTCGAATCATAGTTATATTACTATTACAATATCATACTTGTTCGACTAGACTAATGCTTTTTGCTTTGTGGCAATCTTGAATTCAACATGGAGAACAGAAGCTGCTGCGCATGAATGCACGATTCTTGTTTGACAGGGTCGGCTCGTTTCAGGGAGGTTGGTACCATAGTCAAGCATGGCGTTTGTCAAGGTGCTGAAGAATGCTGCCTACTTCAAGAGGTTCCAAGTGCAACGCCGTCGCCGGCGTGAAGGTAAGACCGACTACCATGCCCGCCGCAAGATGGTTCGCCAGGACAAGAACAAGTTCAACAACCGGAAGTACAGACTGATCGTTCGGTTCACCAACAGGCGCGTCATTTGCCAGTGTGCCTATGCTACTTTGCGCGGTGATGTGGTTGTGGCCGCAGCCTCATCCAATGAGCTTGCTCAATTTGGAATCCCTGCTGGACACAAGAACTATGCAGCTGCTTATGCCACCGGCCTTCTGTTGGCACGCCGAGTGTTGAAGAAGTTTGGCCTGGAGGAGAAGTTCAAGGGCAAGGAGGAAATTGATGGTGAAGAGTACCATGTTGAGGATGAAGACACCGAGCAACGCCCTTTCAAGTGCATCTTGGATGTTGGCATTCGCCGTACCTGTGTCGGGCACCGCATGTGGGGTGCTTTGAAGGGTGCAGTGGATGGTGGCCTGTACGTTCCCCACAAGAACAAAAACTTCCCAGGCTACAAGGCACCGGACGAGAAGGGTGGTGAGGCCGAGTACGATGCAGAAGCCCACAAAGAGAAGATCTTCGGAAGCCATGCAATGAGCTTACTGTTTTGTTGACTGGTCAACGAGTGATCTTCAAAGTAAGTGTTTTGTTGATTTGGTTGCGCCGCCTTTCAACCATGACTCGACTGCTCATTCCGTGAGGTGAAAGAGTACATGGAGATGCTGCAGGAGGAGGATCCCACCAAGTACGAGGCACACTTTGCAAAGTACATTGAGGCTGGCATCGAGCCAGACAAGATGGAGGACCATATCATTTGCTGAAAGTTTAATTTATTAATTTGTGTTCCCATTCAAGCAAAATGACTGGGGTGTGAACCACCCTCCTTTTGGTTGAGCCCATGCTTTTCTCAGGACATGTACACAGAGGCGCATGAGAAGATTCGGGAGGACCCAACCGGCGAACCTGCGGAGAAGAAGGACTCCTTGTTGCAGATTCCATCGGTTCGATTGGTTGGTTGCTTCCTTTGTTGCCTTTCACGTGCCCCATCGTTCTTCCAAGCGCTATCCCTTTTGCACTTGGCTGTCTACCATTCCTGTCTTCAAGGACATCAGCTACGAACGGGATGGCGATACCATGAAGGCCAGCACAGAAGGGTGTGGAGTATGCAGTGCACCAGTGAGACGACTCTAGTAACTCTAGTAGGCCGGCTTTTCATGCTTTCAGATAGACACATGCGATCATTGAAAGCTATTATATAGTAACAAGGGCACTACTACTAGTGGCTAGAAGCTATTAGCAACAAGAGTTGGGCTCATTTTCATGAACTTCCTCCCAAGCAGAGGCATCAGATGGAACGGAGCACACTCGATGCCACAAGATTACGTTGGAGCAGCGCCGTGAGAAGGTGTCGGCCAAGATTGCAGCAGCACAGGTTCGATCATTTTGAAAAGGAGAGTGTGGTGTGTCTCACATGGACGGGACCATATATTTTCCGATACGAGAAGGGAATCATAACATGTGAACTCCCAAACTTTGAGATGCACCACTTTCTTGCTGATTTCAACTGTGCCACTGTTCAAGTTTGGACACTGGCCAAGTGGTGAACGCTGGTTTGAGCAGGCCAAGATGATGGAAGAGTGAGTCAGATACCGCACACTCCTGAAATTCAGCGAGCAGAAAGAGCCCGACGTTAGTTGTGCATGTTTGTGCTCCTTGCATCAAGATACAGTGAGTCGTTTCGATGAATCAAGAGTTCAAACATGCCACATGCAATCCTCATACTTTCATGAAATGGCTCATGGACTCATGGATGTTCGGCTCGGATGTCAGTATAGTCGTGGCTGTTAGTCTTGATCGGATCTCAGTTGCGACAGATCTTGGTGTGACGAAGACCGATCGCCCCGTCCATCCAGGCCACGTCATGACACATGGCTAGCTCACGGAGGGCAGGTGCGTTGAGGTTGGGAGACGTCGTGGCTGCGAACCGTTGTGGCACGAAACCGTGCGTCGCTCGAAGGATCGAAGCCCTGTCAGGCTTGGCAAGCCACACTTGAGATTTGTACATGACCAACACCAAAGACAAGGAAGCCAAGGTGGAACGGAGCATTCAAGTGTTGTTGAAGCCTGAAGTTAGTGGGAAAAGATTGGTACCGTTATATAATATTTTCCGCACCTGATTGACTCATGCTACGCCATTAAAGTGGGGAATTGTGATACAGTAGCTGCCTTTTGCAGGGTGGCGAGGAAGATGAGAGTGAGCCAAGGCTGGTTTCCAAAGCTTTACCGTAGTTGTTCCGTCTGGTCGCTGTCATGTGCATGGAGGGGCATGTGTACTGCTCTTGTACACTTTCACATTTACAATAGAGCAGAGGACATTCAATCTACTTGGGACGCTTCTAATTTTGTACGCCTGGTGTTTGTTGGTGAGCTCATGTCCTATTTTCCTTCCAAGTCTTTACGGCTGGGATTTGACATCTCTATATCAGATACAATTGATCAAGCTTCGAACCCCAAGAATCTTTTGAATGACCTCACCCGCAGTTGCTTCTGTGTTCGCCCGCTTGGGGTGGCAACATTACTCCTTTCCAATCTTAACTGGTAGAACTTGCAGGCGGCTTGGAATGCGTTCTTGATTTGAATTATATAGATCCCCTCTCTGGTTGAAGTTGTGTCTTGAACAGGTTCTGTAATTCCCCCTCTTTACTTTCATCTCAGACTCAGACTCATTTTTGTCACTCAGAAGATGTCTCCTTGAACTCATATTGCGACTGGTTAATTTCTTGATGTTGCTGGCGTGTCCCAAGTGTTCCCTACTTAGTGTTTATCGCACGACGAGTTTGACCTTTGTGCACTCTTCTGGTATGTCACGTCCTTCAAAAGACACATGCACAAACTATTGGATTGAACTGAACAGTTATTGGTTCGCTTATTGAATCACGGTGTGCCTGTGACCTACGCTTAGGGTTTTGTTTCCACGGGAAACGACATGGTTCCCACGTGACAATGCAAGACACTGTGATTATATAATTAGGTATTGGAGAATGCTATGGACTTGACCAAAGACCATAATCATGTCAAATTGTCTTTGGGTGCACCTGTCCGCTCTGCACATGATCCTTGAACATGGTAAATGGTCAGGTGGAGAATTGGTGACCGAGTGTACGCTCTTTGGGCAGGCAACAACTGCTACTATGTTTGCATCCAAGTGCCATCCAAGTGCTGCTTCAGTGACCCCTTTCCAATATAGAATTCATGATCCCCTTCGCCATTGAAAATGCTTCAGCGTATTTCGATTGGCAAGTAAAGCACTTAAGGTCTCTACCATTGCTGAGGCAGGACATCATGAACAGGAGCAAGTCGGAGCAAGTGACACTAGTAACAAGAAGCTACTAGGGGCTCCTCTCCTGGCCTTACTACTAGGAGCAAGGACGCTACTAGGGGCTCCCGGCATCGCTACTAGGAGCAAGAACGCTACCAAATGTGTTCTGGACAGGTCAGTGAGGCGGACAGGACAGTGGTTGTCACATGGGACGATGCAGCACGCTCAGCGCTGTGTTCAATGTGTTCAAGGACCTACCGACCTGTTCAGGCCTTTCCAGATTCTGCCTTGTTTTGATATCCTGTCCAGATTCTATGTCCGGAGTTTTCATCAAGTGAGCTATAGTCCCCTAGCCTCTAGCGCATTTTTTGGTTCATGGGTGCTGGAGGAGCCTACAAACTGAGGCAGACACGTCTCACCGCAGAGTGTCGTTCGACCAGGCTTTTTTTCCTTTTTCCTTCCCTCATTTTGACATCCATGTGGTCCATGTAGCAGAGTGACAGGTCATGCGTCCCTCTGACGAGACTACTGCCTGGAGCAGAGCAAGGAGAGCGGCACTCCAGTATCAGCTATATAATTGCAAGTTATTGCCAAGAAAACGTTGAAACAGCTTCATATATACAAGTAGTAGTCCTTTATAGGATTTTTCTTGGGGTTACATACTGTAGGTTTGAGGGACAATGCCAACACTTCCAATCTTCAAGTTCTTGGTGGTGGAGGGGCTCACTCTGTGAGCTTCTTTGCTGTGGAGTCTCTGGAGGATAGAAAAGAGAGCCACTGTGCGGCACACGAAGCAGAAGGGAAGATGTCTCTTCACCAACGAGGCACCGTTTGGTCCTCCTTGAGCTGTTGCCTAGAATCGTTTTGTAGAGCTCGGGGGTTGATCAGACCTGCCCTCTCCAACCTGCCCTGACTGTGTGCTGCGTGGTGATGCGACGGGCACCGGGCCCAATGGCCAGGCTTGCGAACCAGGGCAAGTGGTGTTTGTGGAGAGGCCTCTGCTGGTTGCGCTGCCAGGTCACCCTGAGCTTGTTTTTCAATTCTTGTCACTGTATATTTTGTTTTTTTGTTTGGTGTCAACATGTTGAAACCTGCAACGCCACTCTTTGCAGCATAGTGGCATAGTGCTTTTGGAGAGAGAACAGTCAAGGGATTTGTCCAGAATTCCAGCATGCTCCTCGATCTCGCCAGCTGTGGCACCCAAACTCTGGGAGTGCCTGCAGAAGTTGCATGAGGCAGGAAGTTCCAGGAAGTTCCAGGATGCAAGAAACCATAAGAAACCACTTCTTGAAGCGGCGTCGCGGAGCAGCTTTTCTCTTGCAGTCCTCACGTTGGCTAGGTGCAACCTCTCAACCTGGGCACCATCACTTTTCATTTTGCTGCGCTTGTCTCCGTGCTCACGCTGGTCGCATTCTTACCATTCAGGGAAAAGAACAGAAAACACTTGGTTTTCTGAGGAGCCCGGAGACATTGACGTTATTCGAGACAAGTATGTGCCTGAACCAGATGAGGAGAACCAATTGTATCGCTGAAAGCCAGCATGGCATAAGCCAGCTAGAAAGCTAGACAGGAGCCCAATGAGGATGTGATCCGAATTCTGAAGGCACTTCAGGCTCGCCGCGCTCGCCTTTCTTGAACTGACCAGACAGCTGGATCAGCTCAGCGCTCCTGAAGTGCAGGATGCAGAGTTGGATGGAGAGTCATCTTGGCCAAGATTTTGTGATGAAACAACCATTGCTCATGTGCTATCTCCCTTGCAATAGGCAAGATATGCCAGGAGCAACAAGATTTGCAAGCTTGAAGCAAAGAGCTTTCAACGGCTTGTGTCGGCTTGGCGCAGCTCGGCAAACCAAGCTTTACAACGTAAACAGTACCAGATGGAAGTCCTTTTTCAGCATGAAGGCTAGAGTCGAGTGACGCACCAGCAAACATATGATGAGAGTTTGTGCAGAGGGCGGGAGTGGTGAACTCTATATTCACACCGTTTCGCGGTCGAAGCCGCCCGCACAGATCGCAGTCATTTGAGAGAGTTTATGTTTCAAGGCGTAAAGGTTAATATTCAGGCCATCCGATGGTTCTGGGTGGGCGGAGCGCATGGTGTGGGCATAAAGAACCACAACCATTCACCTCATCCAGTCGGACTGGGCACACGACCGAACACATCCACGATATCAATCGTACAGTGTCCCACGGTTTGCCTAGACGTTTGCGATTTCTGCGATGTCCATAATATCTACCTATCTGTCTATCGATCGATCGATCGATCTATCTATCTATTTATCTATCTATTTTCGACTTGTCTATCTATCTGTCTATTTTTATCTATCTATCTATTTATTTATCTAGCTATCTATTCAGCTATCTCGCCGTCTATCTACCTATCTATCTATCTATCTATCTATCAGCCTTTCAGCTTCAAATGGCCAAGCCCGGCCACGACCTTTGATGATGCCATGACTCGGATGTGTCCCTGGGCTCTGTGGATCCTCGCCTTTTTCCTGGCTTGGTGGGAGTCCTGGAGAATCTCCTCATTAGAGAGAACTGGTCATTTGAAGCTGCTCGGTCCCAATTCCGAGCCACTGGTTTTTGAGGGTGTGTCAGTGGAAAGGGCAGGGTTGGACAGGGGCCGTGCCCTGTCCTGAAGGGGACATGTGGCTGAACAGACCCAACAAAGCTCCCCCCGAATCTCACGGCAATGGCCTTGGAGTTTCCCACGGGAAAAAAGTTAGTAAGAGAAGCTTCGCTCGAGCTCAACGGCGGTTAGCACTCCATGGCATGACTGTGTACCATGGAAAAGTCTATACTGGACCAATCCTGGCACTGCCCTATGCACCTTTGAAGCCCTCCTGCCCTTCACGAAGGAACATCCGAGCCAGACCCAGGCTTTCCATCATGACCTGGAATTGCATGAGTCTTGCTGCGGACACCTTTGCTGAGCTCCTTAGCTGGGCGGAGATCCAGGGTATTGAAGTTATGATGGTGCAGAGCACCAGGTGGACACTCGAGGAGCCATGGACTTCCCGGGGATTTCATGTGGTGCCTTCCCCGGAGCTTCAGAAGGCCGGTGGGGGACTCCTCACCATTGTGAAGGCAACCCTGTGCCCCATGGAATGTCTTAGCTATCAAGATGTCATCCCAGGAAGATTGCTTCACGTACGTTGTCACCTGCCAAAAACTTCCATTGATTTGCTCAGCATAACCGAAACCACACTCACTGAAAAGACCGAAGCGCGAGCAGGATGGGGAATCAAGAGATACCTCAGACCAACAGTCAAACCTGATTCACATGTTGGCCTCCCTGGCTCTGCGTCACGAGAGGCAATCCAGGACACGTTCATCTTGTTCCTCCAACCTGGTCAATCCAGCATCCTTCCGCTGATTCACCAAGCCACACAACAATGGAAGCAAGAGGTGGAACAGAAGCAGGCCATGATGTCTCTACGGCTGAAGCTGATCACCACGATCAGCCAAACACTTCTGGACAGGATGTTGAAAGTGGCCCAAGCCCAACCCACAATGGAGATTTGGCAGGAGGCATTGAAGCACCAGTTGATCACGGAGAGCGGCGGTTGGAACTATTTGACCTGGAGTCAAAAAGATCGACAACTCCAGGTGATGAAAAAGCCGGCCATCAGTATGACGAGCGTGCAAAGCCTGCTCGAAGAATTGGTCGAATTGACCAGGAAACCCACGGCAGTGGTCCGGGTCAAGTCCTTGAAGGCGACACCAAACTCCCTGGATGCTTCAGATCAGCCTTCGACATCAAAGGCTATACGAAGTACTGGAGACGCTGTCGATGTCAGGGGTCTGGAGCCTTCTTCTTGGAAGGCTCCGGCCTCACACTGTGAAGGAGAACCCCCTAGCAGCCAATTTGGCGAAGGCATCCTCTGGCCAATTGAGAAGGAGACAATCATGGGGTGGTTGATGGCAGTCCGCCTGAGCAACACTGGCAACGATTGCTACCAAAACTCAGCGCTCCTTGCAATGTTTTGGGCGCTCCTCCAACTTCGATGTCCTACCTGGAATGATCTGGGGGCAGGTGCTGAGCGGTTTGCTGAACTGTTCAACTCAGAAAGCATGTGGGTCAGTCTCAAAGACTTGCCTATGCTTGGCGGGTTTCTGCGTTCATGGGGAAGTGAACAACATGATTTACATGAGTTTTTGAGCAAGTTTCTCCAGTGGATTCAACCTCGATGTGTGAACAGCTCATGGCGGCGAATTGTACAGGAAATGGGTTCGATCTCTTTGAAAGATCAGGGCGCCATACAATCCGCCCACACTCAGTGCACCAGCTAACACTGAAAAAATTGAGCTTCAGCATGTGGTTGATTCATGGACTGAGTACATGGGCATGCAAACCACGTTCACAGCATGCAGCCGACTCGCCTGCCTACATATTGATCGTTTTGCCCTGGACCACCAAGGTCGCCCATCCAAACAGGAGTGGGACTTAGAAGTCAACCCAACTGTATGGCTTCCAATTCAGGCCGAGGAAGAACTGGGCTTCACACACAAACCCTATACTGTGGTTGCAGCGGTTGCCCACAGAGGCAACGATGCTGAGGGACACCTTCAGGCTGTTGGCCTTTCCGCTCAGGGATGGATGCTGTTCAATGATCTTCAGGAAGCTCAGGTCATGGGGCCCACGCCACCAAGGACGTCTGAATGGATTTTTGTTTGGCTGGCCAGAGATGACTCTGTTGAATTGGGGCTCAATCGATTCGGCCTCACAGGTACAGATCTGTTCCCCAGAGCTCTGGCCACCTTGTACGAGCAGCACCAAATGAAGCTGGAGAACTACCCGGAGGAGGTTCTTGCACGGCTTCGATCCTTTTGCAGTGTCTGTGGCAAGCTGGTGGTCTCGCATGACGCTCTGAAGAAGCATGTGCGGCTGAGGCACTCTGAGCTTGGCCAGGTCATTAGAGTTGACCAATTCATGCAGGAGCACCGAGATTGTGCCAACCTGCCATGCCATGGGTGTGGTGCCTGCCACATCCTTTCGCGCAAGCCGCTCCAAATGTTTCATTTTTGTCATGTCGAACTCAATGTTCAACTGGGTGTGGAGCACAACAATGTGTACCAAGTACAGCGGAGTGAGCAATTCGAAGCTGGCCGCACGGTCACTGAAGAACTCCAAGCACTTGATTCCTTCACCATGAGGTGAAGCTGAAATTTCCTTCGTAGGTGGGTGTTCTCTGTGGTTTCTTTTTCCATGATGCTGAACCCGGCCTCCCGGTACTGACCTGTGTTCTCCTGGGAAACCAGACTGTGAACCGGGCTCAGGCTGATGAATTTCATTGATGCCGCCAGGCTGTGAGCGCTCTAGTTACGGATTGAGCTCCAGCACATGTTTGATGAACTTTCAACTCCAGCACCGCCACAGCGGCTTTTGGTGCTGCAAGGTTCTTTTTTGTTTAATGCTTTCTGTAAGCTCAGGTCCGGACAGTGGACCCTGGTGCACCCCGGTGCTGTGTCTGACGTACAGTCAGCCAAGGAGAAGTCATCCTTGAGCCCCAGCTTTTGCGAGACCACTCGTGAGCGCCCGAAACTGAAAACTATCTATCTATATCTATCTATCTATCTATCTATCTAATCTATCTATCTATTTTCGACTTGTCTATCTATCAGTCTATTTTTCATCTGTCTATCTATTTATACGGTGCGGGCGGATTTACCTATCTATCTATCTATCTACCTATCTATTTGTCTGCCTATCCATCTATTCAGCTATCTTGCCGTCTATCTACCTATCTATTTATCTATTTATCAAACTATGTATCTATTTAGCTATCTCTCCGTCTATCTATCTGTCTATTTATCGACGGATCTATCTATTTAGCTATCTCTCCGTCTATCTACCTATCTATCTACGAGACGTCTGCGATGTCGTCAATGCGATCCGTCCCGACCGGCATAACCAACATCGCCAACGTCTGGTCCAGTGCCCCTTGGCTTTCCGAGACGTCTGCGATGTCGATAATGCGAGCCGTCCCGGCCAGCATAACCGGCATCGCCAACGTCTGGTCTAATTTTGACCACTTTTCAAAAAATTTTGAAAAACACATCATTTCTAGGAGAAAAAGGCGCCTCCCCCCAAGCTAAAGCTTAGGATTTATCTAGCCGGATTTATTCCCTTGCGATGTGTACACGAGCCCATATAACGCCCTCGGCACCGTCGGTGCGGGCGGATTTGTAAAATTTTGGCTCAAGCCAGAATAGCTTGATTGCTTGAGGCGGTTGAGCCGCCATGATGGCTGGGAAACTTGTGGCCGAGCAGCCACTGTGAGGCGGCTGAGCCGCCATGATGGGCTGTGAGGTGGTTGCCGCCATGATGACCGGTGTTTCAGTTGAGAGCGGTTGAGCATGACAGCTTGGAAGCGGCTAAGCCGCCATGTTGCTTGTGAGGTGGTTGAGCCATCATGATGGGTTGTGAGGCGGCTGAGCCGCCATGCTTGCTTGTGTATTATACAAGCCGCCGCCCTTGCTTGTGAGGTGACTGCTTGTGAGGCGGTAGAGCGTCCGTGACGGCTTGCGATGCGGAGCGCAAAAGCTGTAGAGCTTGAGCCCGAACAGCTCCGCCGCTGATGTCACAAAAAAAAGAGATTGCGGTGGAGCATCGCAAATGTGGCATCAAAAGAGGTACTGTGACCTGCAACGCGCTGAGATGAACTGAGCTCTGACTCAAACTGATGATTGCGCCCAACTGATTGAAAATGTGGAGTGAAGACTGCAAAGGAAGGGAACATCCGCATTGCCCAAAACACCCACTGCCTTTCTGGTTTGATGCGCGTGGCGTGACCAAGACTGGAAGCGTTCATGACTTGGTTATTCATAGATTTTCAACCGATGGCGGCGCCGTGCATGACCATCATACCAACTAGAGCCGCAACATGACTGCTGGCACGCTGTATTCATGGTCACATACCCGATGGTGTCCGTGGTTCACATGCTCAGAGCATAGCAAAGTGCAGGGATCTGTCAGCGCAAGATGCACATGGCTGTGAACCAGCTGTCTGTGAGTTAAAACATTGGGCCGACTTGTTCTTTGTAATGTTTTGCCAAAGAAAGAAGATGGCTGAGAAAGGTGGAGTAGCTCAGAGTCTAGTTGTAGTTGTTTTCCTAAATGCGTAGCGAAGGGTTCTCGTTTAACTCTGGGGGTCTAGGGGTAGAGCGTTGTTCGTGACCCGTTGTCTCAGCGTTCGTCGCAACCGGTGTCAACCGTTCGCAACCGTTTGCAACCGTCTGCGACCGTCTGCGCGTGTTCGCGGTAGGGCGCTAAGGTGCTGCCATTGGGGGAAGCTTTTGGAGAGGGTTTTGCATGGAAGCGTGGCGTGTCACATTTGTGTGAAATAGCGAGGAAACGTGTGGAAACGTAAGATGTGGAATTGTGGAGGATGATTTCACTGCGCAGGCGCAGCATTTTGTGAGGTACGCAGTTTTCTGCGGAGTCACATTGGGATTGGCGTTTGGAGGGTGGTGTTTTTGGGGTGTTGGATGTGGCTGTGACATTGGGAGTTGCGTTTCAGGGTGTTGCATCGAAGCTGTGTTTTCGTGACAAGTCTCAGCTCAAATGGTGATTTGGTGGAGGGGAGGGCGCTGAGAACGTGTCGAAATCATTCCAAACGTGTGGTGTGGTGCAGGTGACGCGATATGATATTGTCACTTTTCGTGGCAGGTGCAGTACTGTCTGCAGATTTTGAGGTATGGAAGTGCGATTTTCGTGGCAGGCGCAGGGAAAGATGAGGTTGCCAGCCAGGTGCGGCGGAGGTCACATTTCGTGGACATTTCGTGGCCGGCGCAGTACTGTGCGTGTGAGACATGTGGACACGCAAATTTTTGGTGTCAGGCGCAGGGAATTGTGAGGTGACGAGTTGTGGTGGAGGTGAATGTCGCTGTGACATTGGGATTGGTGTGTGAGCGGGTGTTGTTGGGAGGGGCTGGAATCGCGAAACTTCTTGGCAGGGCTGCTTGATGTGTGTGCTATGGGGGTTCCCGCTTGACTTTTGGAGGAAGTCTCGTACGAAATGCTCTGCTCCTTTTGGAGACCTTGACATGTGACTTTTGGAGGAGGTCTCGTGCGAAAGTTTTGCAGGGTCGAAGCGTGAGTTTTTGAGGAAGTCTCGTGCGAAGCGCTCGTTTTGGTTGGAGTATTGACGCGTGAATTTTGGAGGAAATCTCGTACGAAACGCTCGTTTTGCAGAGTTGAAGTGTCCCAGAAGAGTATCCGAGTGTCCGACAAGAGTGTCCCACAAGAGTGTCCTACAAGAGTGTCCCACAAGAGTGTCCAACAAGAGTGTCATATAAGAGTGTCCAACAAGAGAGTCCTACAAGAGAGTTCCGCCAGGGTGTCCAACAAGAGTGTCCTACAAGAGTGCCCCACAAGAGTGTCCTACAAGAGTGTCCCACAAGAGTGTCCTACAGGAATGTCCCACAAGAGTGTCCTACAAGAGTGTTCCGCAAGAGTGTCCCACAAGAGTGAGTGTCATACAAGGTGTTCCGCCAGAGTGCACAAGAGTGTCCCACAAAGGTTTCCGAAAAGAATGTGTCCTACAAGAGTGTCCCACAAAAGTGTTTCCTGCAAGAGCGTCAAAGATTGTTTGGGTGTTTGTTTTCGAGTACGTGTTGGCATTCGGGCTCGTGGGTTCCATCTTGTTTTTCGTTTTCTATGCTCACAAACTTGTTTTTTGCGAGGCTACAATTCTTTTGGGCATCATAAAGAGGCGACGAGAACTCAATAAAGTTCGCATGTTTTATTGACGTGCTGAGAGGATGGCCTGGTCTTGTACAACAGGATATCAATGTGTGGGAGTCTTACAGCTTTATTAACACCCTTGATATGCGCACCTTGGCTTTGCTACCTTGTGAGGTGCCCATTCTTGCGATCCAACGTGCTGCCGATAACTCAGTACATTGGGAAACCCAGGGGCGACCGCGCACACTGCATACCTTGACCATGGGGCCCACAGCGTGAGGTTGGTCATATGGAGATGAAGATGCTTTTGTCCTTCGGAGCCGGTGCGCGTTGTCAAGGGTCGCTGTCATCGTTGTCTACGGCACCACTGTGGTTCGTTTCAATCGTTGTTGCTGCCATCTGCACAGTATGGCCTTGGAGAAGGGCGGAGAGCTGACCATCTCCTACCTTCAGGACCCTGCGAAGACTGCGGCCACTAAGGCAAACTTTTGGACCCGTAATTGTGGCTATTTGCAGGACGAAGACCTCTTAAAAAGCACCAGTGTTAGACAGCAAAAACTTCAAAACTGGTCCTTGACTGAGATGCAAAGCCTACATGTTTTCCTTGTTCATTTTTCCATAGCTGAGGAAGTTCACTTGCATGTGTTGGGGACCCAGGGATCAAAAAAAGGAGCGAGTGCTCTGCGAGTGGCCTGCAAGTGCAAGCCGCCCAGGTCCCCGATGCTCCCTCAAAGTGGATGTGCTCCGTCGTTGTAGGGACAATTGAAGCGAATGTTTGACAATGACGCCGTGTTCTTTTTTGGTTGAACGTGAAAATTGTCGACGCCAGGTTGGACGGGGTATACGCTGTCAGAGGTGCAAAGTTGGAGTCCTGTACCCACAGGTGCGCATTTGGAACATAAATTTTTGCGGAAGACTTGAAGTGTCGATATTGGCAATCTGAAAACGACTTGCACGAATTTGGGCAATTTCAAATCGGTCACGCCACAGGTCCCAACTGGCGGCTTTGAAACCTGCAAGGTATGTGGTAGCAGTCCCTCTTCAGAGGCGAGCAACTTGAGCCTTGCTCTTCGAAAACCCTCTATGGATAGTGACATGATTTGAAGGATACTCAAATGCTCTTGAATATGGAGGAGGAGTCTTGAGCTTAGCTTGCTTAGCAATCCTTGTGCAATTGCAGGGATCTGACAGACAAGCTTGAACCTTAGGTATGTGGCCCGAGTCGACTCGTTGGACAAGAAGGACTTGGATGATGTGCAAACTGTTTACCAGGCGTTGTGCTGTGCCATTCCTTTGCTCAGCCAAGCGGGCTGATCCTCCCGCAGACTTCCAGGCAGCCCTCGACATCTTCGAGAGGCATTGGATCCTCTATGTCCCTTGGCTTTTAACACTCACAGATCAACTCAACAGACCAAGAGACGCAAAGATGAGAATTTGTGCTAGGCTCGTATATTCTGGAAACGTGCGCCCTTCAATTGGACATTTGGATAAGTTGATTTGACCTACACGGCATACATTGTCATAGGGCCCATTGGTAAGGGCCCCTTCCAAATTTTCTTCAGTGTTCAAAAAAGATGAACACACACAGCTTTTCTGATTCTTGAGGTCATGGACACTATTCTGTGGGAAGGCCAAAGACAAAAGAACATCATGGAAGCGATGGAGCACCAGCGGCATCCTCAATGGATTCCAGAAACCGGCGCACGTGTATAATGGAACAGCTCCCTGTTTTCAAGCACCGACGAGGCGCCGACGGATTGATTTCCATCAGCATTACTATTTCAGGTAGGGATGGGAGGAGAAAAGCTTGACCAATCTGGAAGTGAAGTTTACAAGAGTTGGCAAAGTGCGACGGAGGCCTACCTTCATCTTGGCATGGTGTCACGAGGCGTTGGGTTGGAATACGCAGCTTTTGCAAAATTGACTGAACCAAGACGGCGGGAGTCTGGCTGAGGAGTTAGGTGACTGCATGGTGCAGCAATTTCCAAGCCGAAAATGGCATCTTATGCAGGAGCGCTCCAAGTGATTGTAGCCAGGGCTGCCAAGGTCCCCCACCTTCCTCAGGAGTTCCAACGAGCATATCAAATGCTCGCCATCCTGCTGATTCCTCAACATTGGTGGTCTTTGTATTAAAGTACACAATTTTCGTTGAAGCCGACTGATTTATCCTGAGACTCGGTGTGTACTTTTGCTGCCAGATCGCCACTGAGGTGTGGGACAACGCACCAGTATACTGCCAGTCCTTACAACAAGCTGTGGCAGGTGCCCTTTATCGAGTTTGGTGCGCCAAAGTCCAGTGCGGGAAGGATGCTGTCAGCACTGCTGCCAGGTTTCAAGCACCAACAATTCTGCAAATGCGAATGGTGCGAATACCGTGCAAGACTAAGGGGGGGAAGAATTGCAAGCTGAACATTGAATCTCCAAGGAAACCAGCGAATCTCGAAAGCCCGTAGCACAAGTGAGCATCAGCATGTAACATGCCAAATACGAAAAGAAACATATAGAATCAACATTTTTTTTAACATTGACATATATTTCAAATATATTATCAATACATATATTCGCATCGTTTCGCGATAGCAACTATCCACACTGCTGATTTTGGAAATAGGACAAAAGACATCTCTACAATTGCAATCATTGACAGTGAGCGTCATGACACCACCGCCGGTTCGTTCGGCGCGCGTTTTGACGCACACGTGCTGCCTAGTTGGCAGCGGAGCCTGTTTGGCTATATACCGTTTGCTCCCCCTTGTTCGCGCCATGCCGCCGCCGACCGCTGACTCTGATGACAATCTTGGTGGTCAGCCGCAGTTGGATGGCAGCTTTGCTGGTGCTGCCTGGCGCCCAACCCTGGACGGCTCTCTTCCGACGAGCCGGGCAACAAGCCTGGACCATGTAGGAGCCCGCTGAACACGACTTTTGGGCATGTGAGCACTGCGGCTCAGGAGGCTACGCCTGGGATGCGAGCATCCAAGAGTGGCGGCCCTGGCTGCGGATCAGCCTTTTCGGCCCTGGCGAGGACGGTGCATGGTTTTTCGTCGTTAGTGGCCTTGTCGCATATTTCATGACCGTGGGTCGCGACCTCCTCCAGTATATTTTCGTTAGGGGCCGCCGCTTCATCACGGACGGCCCGGATGGCAATCTCTTCAATGAAAACCCTGACGGGTATTGGGAGTCCACCGGCGCATGATCCGAGCGTCAACCCGAGTGAACTGAACCACCTGGACGATGGCATCCCGCACGAGGCGAAGGCGACAACGCGGCAGACTAGGTGACCCAGCAGGTGATCCACAAGGCGATCTGATGAACCGCCAGGAGATCCAGAATTTCCATCACCAGGTCTTCCATGAGGTTCATCGTCAGGTTGAGCCCACCTTCGGATAGACCGCCTTCAGATCCTGTGTAGCGAGTTCATGGAATAGTATGAAAGGACCCATGCATGGAGTCAACTTGGGAGGTGCTCATCGGGGACGTGCTTCTCTTCTAATGGCCGGATCACAAGCCTTTGCCAACTCGGTGAGTGCATCTGTGTCCTGGCGCCGCGTATATTGGAGGCCACTATCCCCTGCTTGGCAAGTCCTAGATGGCTCCAGGAAGCGGGCGCAATCGTTGACCTCCCCAACCAGTCAGTCATTTCAATGAGTTTGAAATCACGGCCCCCCGGGTTTTGGTGAACCGCCACCTTGGGTTGAACGCGTCGCGCTGCTACCGTCAACAAGCATGTTTTGATTTTTCCCGAGAGCGTCTGCGAAGGGTTCTTCGTAAAAAAACATCTGCAGAACTACGTCTCATCTACATCTTCATTCTCACCTATGTCTCTGCACATCTTCACATCCTCACATCGACATGTCTGCTCATCTTCATCTTCACACATCTACATCTCTGCTCATGTTCACATCTGCACATCTACATCTCTGCTCATCTTCGCACCTCACATCTACATCTCACATCTTTACCTCTCATCTACATCTCACATCTTCACCTCTCGCTCTTCTTAACTTTCTCTCTTAAGGCCGGGGGCAGTGCCGCCGGACCGCCGCGAAACGCAACCCTCTGCGGAGATCGCGCGCGCGTCGGGCGCGCGAAATGCAGGCGAGAGTGCGATTTGTCCCGGTCCGCCGAAACCCTCTGCGGAGATCGTGCGTGTCGGGCGCACGAAACGCAGGCGAGAGTGCGATTTGACCTGGCCCGGCGCAACCCTCTGCGGAGATCGTGCGCGTCGGATGCGCGAAATGCAGGCGAGAGTGCGATTTGGTTTTGTCCGGTGCAACCCTCTGCGGAGATCGTGCACGTCGAGTGCGCGAAATGCAGGCGAGAGTGCGATTTGTCCCGGTCCGGCGCAACCCTCTGCGGAGATTGCGCGCGTCGAGTGCGCGAGATGCAGGCGAGAGTCATGCGATTTGGTTTTGTCCGGCGCGACCCTCTGCGGAGGTCATGCGTGTCGAGTGCACGAAATGCAGGCGACAGTGTGATTTGTCGCGAAATGCAGGCGAGAGTGCGATTTGACCCGGTCCGGCGCCACCCTCTGCCGAGATCGCGCGTGTCGAGCGCGCGAAATGCAGGCGAGAGTGCGATTTGCGTGTGTCCGGCGCAACCCTCTGCGCAGATCGTGCGTGTCGAGCGCGCGAAATGCAGGCGAGAGTGCGATTGGGGAGCTGGAAGATGAGAACTGGCGACTTTCTAGTACAACTTTAGTACGCGGAGTATCTGGGGAGCTGGATCATGAGAACTGGCGACTTTCTAGTACAACTCTAGTACGCGGAGTATCTGGGGAGCTGGAAGATGAGAACTGGCGACTTTGTAGTACAACTTTAGTACGCGGAGCAATCTGTGGAGCTGGAAGCTGAGAACTGGCGACTTTGTAGTA